TGTTGCTATTGTATAAACAAGCTGATGCTTTGCATTCCCAAGACATTTGACTTCCATTTCTTTTGTCAACAAAACATTACTATAATATGACTGTGACTTAGAATTAAAAGTGTAAGGGGTGAAAGGTAGACTGAAACTCTTTAGATGTCTTCTGTGTTAATTTAGCACTTTACCAACCTTCACAAACATCCCTCAAATTCTTCTTAAAGTCATTCGCCATATTGTCAAGTTACAAGTGCAAGAACAAGTTTTTTTTTCCTTCGAATAAACTGCTTAGGTTTTTTTTGAATTAGGACCTTTTTTATTAACATTGACACTGTGAAAAAGAACCAAAAACAAGCCTTGATTTGCAGGAGAAACATAATTGGTTGAAGAAATCATGTTATTATTTATGTCCATTTTATTCTGCTTTCTGTCTGTAAAATCAAGCAACCATGCAGGCAGTTTAAAGACCCAATCCTGTTATGTAGACACAGCGACCAGATGGTGTCACTCCTCACCTACAAACCAGTTCACCTCAACATCTCACAAAGTCTGCTGTTCAGTTAAACACCAGAAGTCTGCTCTGTTTGGACTGCATTGATTATGCTTCTGTAATCTTATCACAAACCTTCAGCTTTATCCTGAAAGTCTATAAAGAAGCTTCCAGTCTAATTGTGATAATGCAGATCATGTTTTTTATTTTAGAGATAGAAATTCCTTGTAATCAGTACATACATTGTCAAACTGATACTTACAGCAACTACTGAACTATTTCCTGCAAATTAACTGTGACAGTGAGACTTCCATACTTGAATTATTTGGATTAGATTGTTGGATGAAATTATTGTTCTTTTTACAGTAAATTGCAAAAATCCCCTTAATGAAGAGTATTCAGCTCTCTAATATTCAATCCTCTCATTTATTTTTTTGAACTTATAGTGACTGTTTTAGTTTTTGTTGTAATAGTTTCGAATGAAACTGCAGGTTGGCAGGGTTTTTAAGCAGAATGAAAACATTCCTGGAATAGCATCTGTTGCACATTTGGCTGACCTCATGGCACAAGCCACAGGCAGGTGGCAGAAATACCTGTCAAAAGGAGGAAGAAGCTGACTATCATACAGAGAAAGACAGGGGGGGAGGAAGAATGCAATGCGTATGTAGATCACACAATCAGAGGAGAGCAAAAGCAACACAGAGAGACAGCAGAAGGAAGGCCAGACTTGTTTTTCTTGTTTTTCAGGAAGGTAGGACGTCCTCTTGTAAACACCCAACACTCGGTGCACATACAGTTAAACTGGAGGATTAGTGACTGTGGCTTGGACTTGAAAGCTCACATCTCAGCAAAAGGTACAGTAATTAATCTGGTTTTAATCAAATTTTTTATGAAGGGAATGAGAAATGAAGATGAAGATGCAACTGTCAAATGACCCACAGCTGTTTTGTTCCCGTAATACATTACAAGAATCTTTGGAAATCTGAAACCTTGTGACATTAGAATAATTCATTTATTTGTATTGCAAAGACATTGGTTTTTGTGTGTATTTCATGAAAAATAACAGCTTAAAAAAGTTCAGCAAAAGGAAGGAAGAAAGTTGGAGAAAGTCAAAGTCATACCTTTATACCACCCGTCATTTTTCATTCAACGAGTGAAGTTTCTCTGATGGTTGTGTCACCTGCATACGTCCTGGTCATGGTGGTTTTTCCTGAATTAACTTCTCCATCATTTTTCTGTGAATGACGCCCAGGATTTTTCCAGGACAAAACCCTCAAAAAAAGAATTTCTTTGTTAACAACAAACTAAGATATTGAGATCAACCAATTTTATAATTTAATATTTTGAACACAATGCAAGATGTTAAAATGTAAAAAAAAAAAAAAAGTGTAATAAAAAAATTGAAAAGTAAATAATTTATGTTAAATTCTGCAGTCCCTGGGAATTAAACAAAACATGACTTGAAACTAATCATTTTCTGTGGGAAATGTGTTTTTAATGCACCTGAACAAAATTATTTCTTAGATGTTTGGAAAAAGTAAGGAATAAAAAAAGTCTTCAATAACAAGTCTTTTGAGGAAACTGAAGCGACTTTTCCTGAAAACAGCTGGTGGGACAGGGTGGCTACTACTAACTACTAAAGTTGTTTTACAACTATTTTACACAGAACAAGATACCAGACACCAGATTTTTCTTAAATGTTCTGGTGTTTTAAAGACTTTATGGTGCCATGCACTCTAACAAGATGTCCAGAGCCTTTGGAAGACAAATAAGCCCACATCATCATAGATCCACCTCTGTACTTAACAGTAGGCATGAGGCACTTTACCAGTTAATTGTTCTTTGCTTCACATCAGACCAATATGGTAATTTGTAGCAGAAAACCCTGATCTTTGTCTTAGTTAACCAAAGAGCACGATTTCAGTTAAACTCCAAAAGCTGTAACACACTTTACATGTTTATGTTTGTGACGGTACGACAGAAAACTGCTTGGCAAGTAGAGTGCATCAGATGATTGTTATAGAGACATAGTGACCCCTGTAATTCAGCTGTGCACACTGTGTGGTGGTATTTATGAGTCATTATGCAGCCCGGTGGCAAGTGACTGAAAGAAATGGGCCTCAGTTACAGTGGTATGAAAAAATGTTTGCGCCCATCCTGATTTCTTATTTTGTTGCATGTTTGTCACATTTAACTGTTTCAGATCATCAAACAAATTATAATATTAGTCAAAGACAATACAAGTAAACACAAAATGCAGTTTTTAAATGAATGTTTTTATTAGTAAGGGTGAAAGAAAATCCAAACCTACATTGCCCTATGTGAAAAAGTAATAGCCCTCTAAATCTCTTATAACTGCTTGGGCCTCCCTTAGCAGCAACAACTGCAATCAAGCGTTTGTGATAACTTGCAATGAGTCTTTTCCAGCGCTGTGGAGAAATTTTGGCCCACATATTTTTGCAGAATTGTTATAATTCAGCCACACTGGAGGGTTTTCGAGCATGAGGAGAACTTTGACCAGCCCACTCCAAAGTCTTTATTTTGTTTTTCTTCAGCCATTCAGAGGTGGGCTTTCTGGTATGTTGTGGATCATTGTCCTGCTGCAGAACCCAAGTTCGTTTCAGCTTGAGGTCACAAACAGATGGCCGGCCATTCTCCTTCAAGATTTTTTGGTAGACAGCAGAATTCATGGTTCCATTCATCACAGCAAGTCTTCCAGGTCCCGAAGCAACAAAAGAGCCCCAGACCATCACACTACCACCGCCAAATTTTACTATTGGTGTGATCTTTTTCTCAAATGCAGTGTTACTTTTAGGCCAGATTTAATGGGACGCACACCTTCCAAAAAGTTCAACTTTTGTCTCGTTAGTCCGAGTGTTTTCCGAAAAGTCTTGGAGATCAAGATGTTTTCTGGAAAACTGAGACAAAGCTAATGTTCTTTTGGCTCAGCAGTGGTTTTCATCTTGAAACTCTGTCATGCAGGCGATTTTGCCCAGTCTCTTTCTTATGGTGGAGACATGAACATGCTGTTCTTTGGATGTTGTTGGGGGGTCTTTTGTGACCTCTTGGATGAGCCATCCCATCTCTCTTAAGGCAATTTTGGTTGGCTGGTCAGTCCTGGGAAGGTTCACCACTGTTCCATGTTTTTGTCATTTGTGGATAATGTCACTCACTGTGGTTCACTGGAGGCCCAAAGCTTTAGAAATGGCTTTATAACCTTTTCCAGGTGAATAGATCTCAATTACTTTCTTTCTCATTTATTCCTGAATTTCTTTAAACCTTGGCATGATGTCTAGCTTTTGAGGATCTTTTGGTCTACTTCACTTTGTCAGGCATGTCATATTTATGTGATTTCTTGACTTAGAACAGATGTGGCAGTAATCAGGCCTGTGTTTGGCTAGATAAAGTGAACTCAGGTGTGATAAACCCAAGTTATGTTATGTTTTACCAGAGGGGGCAATCACTTTTTCACACAGGGCCATGTAGGATTGGATTATTTTTCGCCCTTAATAATAAAAACCTTCATTTAAAAACTGCATTTTGTGTTTATCTGTGTTGTCTTTGACTAATATTATAAATTGTTTGATGATCTGAAACAGTTAAATGTAACAGGCAAAAAATAAGAAATCAGCAGAGTGCAAACACTTTTTCCCACCACAGTATGCCATGTTTGTATCCTCAAACTGCATAAATTTAGGGTTATTATTAATGAAAGTTCCTAGATACACTGATCAACCTAAATGTACCATAGTATAAAAGAAGACTTGCTCCATTTACAATTATTTTAGGGGCACTAATAGCGGCACCAGTAAATGCCGCTAATAGTAACAATCATTTTCCAAGTTGGGATCTTATTTTTTGCCACCACTGAATAAATGTACTAATAAACGTTCAGATTGCTTTACACCTTTTGGGATGTGATTGTGCTACTACAAAACAAAAAACTTTTAACACTAAGGCTTATTACATAGCTTTACCAGAGGAGCCAACTAATGTTGCCAGTCAGTCCTCCTAACTTGTGTTAGAAGATTACTTTTACTCTGCTCCCTTCAAAGAAATGTCGACATCACCTCTTCAAGTGATTCCAAGGAAGCCCTCAGGTATCAAAGTGCTGACTCCACTTCAAGAGCAGTATCGTCCAGGTGTGCTGCCCATCATCACAGATGCTGGCAAAGGTATTTATGGTCACAATGACAATTTATACATTTCTTCCTTCGCATGAACTGAGTTGCTGCATGCAGTAAGCCTGACACATGGGGCAGAGTGCATCTGCAAAGTGTATCACCTTTTGCTTAAATAAGTCTGCTTTTTTGTTTGCTCAGAGAATGGCATCAGTGGGAAGACAAGCCACATACCGCTGATGACTGCAGACAGAGAAGTTGTAAGTTTTACTGAAACCTTGGATACTTGTCTCTATTAGGTTAATCTCAATGAACCACCTTTTATCTGCAGATTTAACCTTACAAATCATCAAGACTGTATGAATGAAGTTACAAATTTATTCGCTAATATTGATGAAAAATGGGGCTGCACTTTGGCGCAGTTGGTAGCACTGTTGCCTTCGAGTGAGAAGGCGCTGGGTTCGAATCCCAGCCTGGGGTCTTTCTGCAAGGAGTTTGCATGTTCTCCCTGTGCATGTGTGGGTGCTCTGACTTCTTCCTATCCAAAGACCACCCATCCGTCCAAAAACATGACTGTTAGATTAATTGATCTCTATATTAATTCCCCTTAGGTATGAATGGGTATGTGCATGGTTTGTTTGTCCTGTGTGTCTCTGTGTTGCCCTGCAATGACTGGTGACCTGTCCAGGGTGTACCCTGCCTCTCGCCCAATTACCGCTGGAGTCAGGCACCAGCTCCACTGTGGCCCTGTACGGAAGAAGTGGATAGAGAAAATGGATGGAATGGAAAGTTCAAAAATGAAATACCAAAATATATGGAAGCAGAGATAAAGCTCAGTTGTAATTTAGAAAAATAGGAAAGAAGAATAGGAAATTTAGTTACAATGTACTTAGCGGACAGGGCAAACTATTATGTGGTAATAGAGCCACATCTAGTAAGAAACTTTTGACATTTAAGATATTATTTTACATGTCATAAGTAATGGTTGCTTATTCTCATGGCTACAACATCTAATACATGACTAATATTTCTCAGGAAATCATGAATCACTGCTTTGACGATATGGAGAGATTCATGACTCGCTTGCAGCAGACAGCAGAAGCCCAAAGCATTCTTGACCAAAGGACCAAAAAGAGTGGCAAGAAAAGCAACAAAAATGAGAAAGGAGGTGAGGTGGTACATGTTAATGAAATGCTGGTGGTCACAAAGCTGGAAAACCTTTTTGTAACATAATCTACTGTATTGAATTAAGACACCTTTGGTCATAACTTCAGGGCTTGATTTGTTAAGGCTGTAGATAAGTTAAGGCAGAGAAAAACTGTGTTTTAGCATTTTGTTACATACTAAAACAAGCCAGCAGGTAGATTGCTGAAAAACCCTTTAAGGTAATTCAGAAAACTCTTGCATTTGTTGTGATGCCCCTCCTTTTGTCTTGAAGGCAGGACAAATCAATCTTAGAGGACTGCTTAATGACTTAATGGGATGATCAACCTGTACCGTTGCTCACCTTACCCTATAATCATTCACCTATTTCTATTTTGCTTTTTGTTTCTATCTAATACAACTATGTGACACACCTACATTCACTCCTTAAATCATTATCCATTTTTGCCGGTTTAATGAATCTAATTTCAGTACATAGCTTGCGTAGACGGCTTGTCGCAATCATTAATCCAGTTTGTGTGGCTAGGAAATAAAACAAAGAAGTTGTCTCAGTCATCACAGAAAGGTTAAAGACTCCCTTCATTCTTCTGTGATGACCGAGCAGCTGGAATTTGACACATGCATTGACACACTACATACAGCAACTAGTAATGTTGGCAGCCCTGGTGTGCAAAACCCTTAAAATAAGTAGGTCATATGGAGACTTAGTGTGACCAAGACACCATTCCTTGGTGTGGTTCACTAGCAGTATGCCTTGGTGATTTTTTTTTTACCTCCCTTTAATGATTTAATGTTAAACAGTGAGGGAAAAAAAGGGTTATGCATCTTTGTATACACTGTTTTAACCATAAATATATTTAGTGATTTTCTAAAATAGGATATTGGCTGTAAACCTTATGGTGTATACAATTCTGTGAGTTAAAGGCTCAGCGTAATAAAATCCCATGTTTTTTTTTTACATGCCAGAGGTGAAAAGGAGATTATTAAAATCTCTTAAAGGTGTTTAGTTTGTGGCCTCGCGTTTTTGCTTCGTGTCTGTTTTTAGCTGCATGCTCTGTTCTGCTGTTAGAGTTGTAATTATGATTGCTCTCTCTGGTTCTGCAGACAACCTGTTGACCAAAAAAGCAATCCCTCCATCAGAGCAGGAATTTGTGGACATCTTTCAGAAAATGAAGTACTCCTTCTGTTTACTGGTAATATATATGCATCCACAGACTAGTTCTGGGATGTTAAAAGAGCTGGCAAGTGACGATATATAAAAGTAATTTCTGTCTGATTTAGGATCGCCTGAAGTCATCTATCTCGCAGCCAGATGCACCAGATCTGCTCCACCACATCTTTGTGCCTCTTAGATTAGTAGGTCCTACTGTTTGTGTGTGTTTGATTAAGTGTTTCCCCTCTTGTTTCCTTTTTCTGTAACTGGAGTGGTATCCATTCTCTGTTTTATAGATGGTGAAAACAACTGGAGGGCCAACATTAGGTGCATCTGTGGAGAGTCCAGCTATGACCAGAGGTGCTGTTTCTCTGCTCCAAGCGCACCTGACTGAAGAGGAAAAGGAGCTGTGGAGATCACTAGGACCCAACTGGACCTCTCACAGGTCTGTGTGTTTCTCTTTGTACCAATCTCTGGTTCCATTTACAGCATCACTGTTGTAACAAGACCCTTCTCTTTTCCTAAGTTTGGAGCGGACTGTTTCTGCTCCTCCATATTCACCTGTCTTCCTGGATGGGTGGCAGCCACAGGCTTATGACTCAGCCTCCCAGCTAATAGAAGATCCCATCCAGTTACAGCACAAAGAGGATGCTTTCAATGAAAGTAGACAAGAGCAAAGTCAACAGGAACATGCTCATCCTGCAGCCAAGAACCATGGAGAAGGGACAGAAAATGTGTAAGAGTTTAGTCTGGAAAAACATGGCTGATGGAACATGAGAAATTCTGACATTTACGCCCATTGACTCTACAGACCCATTCAATATTAGAATATTATTGAAAAGTTTTCATATTGATTAAGTACACACAGACTGATGTTTTAAAACCTTGAAAACATTTAAGGCTAGAAAAGTACATCAAATCATAAAATAAATGATGCACAAATGTGGGCTTAATGAAAAGTATATCTGATGCTATCTTAAAGGTTTTGACTTTTAAATGATACTTTTAATATGACAATAGAGTCTCATTGGAAAGCATATTCTAATTTATGGAATATGACTCTATGTAGTTATAATAAAAATTCAGTCAGACTATTATAAAAGTCCTCTTCACACCAGATTGGGATCTTCCCATGAACATTTATTGCGAGCTGCTTGATGAAATTCATTTTGCTGCAGCCAGATCAGTGGCAGAAGGAGATGTGCATGACAGCTGCATGGGTAAGGTGGCAAAAGAAAATTACCTGGAGCCCTGCTAGCCAGATGTAGGGTAGGCTGGCATGTTGCCATTTTGGCTAATCTTTTCTGAAATTCTCTGATGACCAAGCAACGCAGGTGAGTATGAGTTACATTACAGTGCTGGCAGTGCATTCTCTGTGGACCCCAGAAAACCTCTCTACTACACCACACTGACCTTCCAAATTCAGGCTAATATTAATGAAGTGGTTAAGACTCAGCTTGGTGTGAAGGGGGGTAAACAAAAGTAGGTTCAATTCAATTCAATTCAGTTTTATTTATATAGCGCCAATTCACAACACATGTTGTCTCAAGGCACTTCACAACAGTCAGGTACATACATTCCAATTAATCCTAACCATTGAACAGTGCAGTCGG